GTCATCAGCTTGTTTAGGTTCTCCTGTTGGAGCATGTGTTGTAGCTTAGGTTAAAATTCTACTTCTCTATATTCTGTATCTTCTTGCCAAAAAACTATTAGAGTGATTCTTAAGAAGTAGGTGTCAAATTCAAAATATAGATTTAATTAAATCTTATGTATTCTCATTAAAAAAGAAATAAAATATTATATCCTTCACCTTAATATGAAGAAATAAACAATACCGTTTGAATTGTTTAACAAGGCTTTACAGGATTAACATTTATATTACATCCCAGACTCTAAAAGATGTTTTCACAAAGAATTTAAGTGAACTTCTAATAAAATGCAGGGGGCCAGCTGAAGACTGCTTGAGACAAATACCAAATGTGAACACATAATTACTGGGAAAAAAGCAGTGAATAACGTCTGCTCAGTTAGTAATTACTATTGTTTCATCATAAAACCAATGTCATGAAAAGAACAGGGTTTTATATAGCTCAGATTTGAAACTATGTTCATGTCAATTTACTGATAATGTAATTCATACTTTACCCGGAAAAGTGCTGAGACTGTCTGGAAAGAAGAACCTTTCTTCTTGCCACCCTTCTTTCCCCCACCAGCACCACCACTAGCCTCTTCAAAAAAAAAAAAGAGTTTTTGAATATTATCTTTTCTTTTCCTTGCATATTTTCATATTAAAAAATGTTTGCAAAAAAAAAATTTAAAAAAAAGAAAGATTTTTAGAAAACTAACCAGCTTCTGCTCCACCATAGGAGGCAAAAAGTAAAGCCAGGGTCTTCACAGATGATTTCTGGTACAACCCAATGACTGTTTCATTCAGAGGGTCTTTGTTCTTCTCAAGCCAGCCAGTGATGTTGTAGTCCACTGTGCCAGCATAGTGCACCAGCGAGAAGTGAGCCTCAGCCTTGCCTTTGGCAGGCTTGGGCTTCTGGAAGTTACTGGACTTGCCCAGATGCTGGTCATAGAGCTTGTTCTTGAAAGAGGTGTCAGTTGCCTTGGGGAACATGCACTCCTCTTCCAGGATGGAGAAGATGCCCATGGGCTGGAAGATAGTACAATAAAGAAGAGAAAATCCTGTAGAAGAATGTGATCACTACTTATTCTTAAAGAGAATATAGTAAAAGACAGGAAGCTGAGAAATAAACCAATACTCTCGCCACGAAGAATATTTCTTTGTAAAAAAGTGAGTTTAAAAAAATCACGTGCTTGAATCACACTTTGGTAGAGTGCTTCAGGAATGCTTTTTATGCCAAAAATTATGTTAAAAAATCGGGAGGAGAAATATTATATTTAAAAATATCTTTCGTAAATGTGTCTATTGTATATTTACTTCAGTTCTCTACTTCTAATCAATTCCTATGTTACACAGAACTACAAGAAATCTCTTCCAGTTTCTTGAACTCAGAGGTCAGGTACTGACTGTATTGACCTGTGCTTACTTTGCTATGAACCACCTAGAAAATAATGTATTGTCCAGATAACTTCATTGCATGACCTTAAGAAAATATTATTTTTCTACTTTGGGTCGTTTTTGAAGTAAAAAAAAAATAATTAAAAATCCTTTAATCAAACAAGTGGAGATATGTTCCACTCAGAGAAGATGTGTGAGGAATAACTCCTTTGGACTTCTTAGTATCTCTAATGTGTGGTAAGCAATAGTACAGATTAAAAGATATTTCAAGAACTATAACTGAATACATGAATGTGATCATGGAAGAAACCTTATTTTCTAATAGCATTCACTATTACAAATTTAAAATAATGAATTTCTAAAAATACCAGGCATTTTGAGTTAAAAAATTACCTTCTCAATGAGCTCAATGCAGGCAGCCAGGTCCATCCCAAAGTCAATGAATGTCCATTCAATTCCTTCCTTCTTGTATTCCTCTTGCTCCAACACGAACATGTGGTGGTTGAAGAACTGTTGCAGTTTCTCATTGGTGAAATTGATGCACAGCTGCTCCAAGCTGTTGAACTGCCCAATGGAAAATAATCAACAATCACCCATCATCAACATAGAATCATAGAATAGTTAGGGTTGGAAAGGACCTTAAGATTATCTAGTTCCAACCCCCCTGCCATGAGCAGGGACACCACACACTAAACTACGTCGCCCAAGGCTCTGTCCAGCCTGGCCTTGAACACCTCCAGGGTTGGAGCATTCACAACTTCCTTGTTGCACAGTTCTTGATCGTTCTCAACCATTTATAAATCTCCCTAGTTAAAACACAACTGTATTATCAGGACTGTGCCATAACAATACCTATATGCAGTTCCCCACAGAAATATCTGCATCATGAAAATGGAATTTTTCCGGAGCAGATATTTCTAGTGAATCTCCTAAAATTCATGAAGTACTTTGGCTTTTTTTTTTTTTTTTTTATTCAGCCCAAACTGTCCAAGTCTCCAGTTTTTAAACACTTGATATCTCTGATTAAACACATATTCATTCCTTGGTTGTTAAAACAGTTTACACATTTAATCTCTTATGTTTGTCAATGGGTCTTCAAATCTTAGTTCTGCTCTAACACCTCTCCTATTGTATTCCTATTATTATGTTGGTTTTTAAAAAATCACTAACATTAAGCTCAAACTGTTAAAATATTACAAAATATAAAATTCTATTTGCTACTTCTATACAAACAATAAAACTGTTCTTGTACAGATGAAGCTTCTGAGGATTTTGCTCTGTGCTACAAAAGAAAATGAAGGACTTTTCCCAGAAAACTGCAAATGACTAGCATGTTAAACCTTCAGAAGATTATTACTTAGAAGCCCTGTGATATAGCAATCTCCCCCTGCAAGAGTACTCCTCAAGCCTAGAATCCTTACATCAAAAATCTCAAAGCCAGCAATGTCCAGGACACCAATGAAGTACTGTCTGGGCTGCTTGGTATCCAGCTGTTGGTTGATACGAACAACCATCCACAAGAACATCTTCTCATAGACAGCTTTTGCCAGGGCACCAACTGCATTGTTCACCTAAACCAAAAAAAGAATGGAGAAGAAAAACAATATTCAGATCAAATAGCAAGAGATACAAGCCAGAAGTTCCCTGTCTCCAGGTGGTTGTTACCTGCTGCACAGTTTGACCCTTGGTCACATATTCATTCCCAACCTTGACTCGGGGGTAGCACAGGGCCTTCAGCAGGTCAGCTGAGTTCAGACCCATCAAATAGGCAGCCTTGTCAGCCACTAAGGAGGAGATAGATAGAAAAATTAAGACTAACAAGACATGCAGCATTTTGAGTGATGAACCTTTTCCAAAGCAACTGAATTATTGAACAACATTATTGAACATCCTTGTGGTCAAATTCTTCTTAGCAGACCTCTGAGAAAGCACTATAGTCATTAAAACAAAATTCATCTTTGTTTTGAAAGCTTTTGAGAGCAGTACAACTGAATGCTATTTGTGTTTTTGAAAATCCTCACAGAAACATCCGGAAACAATGTATTTATTAAAAATTCATCCTGTAAGCTGAATTTCATTACTGCTGTCCATGATAATTGGCATTTATAAGCCAGACAACAGAATACCAAAGTATTAGCAGGTTGGCCACCTGAGTGGTGGCCACTAACCCAAAGCATACACTTAGGTACTTGGGCTACTTGTATTCTCTGGAAGCAGCTGTTGTCCTAAACAGGAATACATTCCAAAACTAGAGGTAACAGTTAGGAAGTGCCCTCTTCTGTAGACATACTGTTATTATTGTAGCAGAAAGGCAAGCATATTCATTCATTCAGGATCAAAATTTAAAAATTCAGTCCTGAAGCTGGTCATCTGAGAGCATTCTTTTGAAGTAGACAAGGCTTAGTCATTTTAAACCATGTATTCATTAGATGATAACATTTGAATGATTAAGTAGTCAGCTAAAAAATAGAGATCTAAGTCAGTTCTTCCCTAACATAGTATACCTGTGCTTCACTTAGACTGATGTGCCAATAATAGTACTATGTAGTGACAGTTAGAGATTTGTATCTCCAAAGGAGAAGAAAGAAATTGAAGGAAAGTTCCCTTTTACCTAGGCAAAATTCTTAAATGCATGTGATTTATGAAGGAGAAGTTCTAATACTAGTGGCCCAGGAGATAAATATGCAATTTATACTTCAAATAAAGATTAGGTAGTAATTGAAAAAGGGGTGTATTTTGTGTGGCAGTTACACATGCATGTACTTGCTTCCCGACACACTAAAAATGGTATATTTTGTGTGACAGTTTCACATGCATGTACTTGCTTCCTTACACACTTTTTCATACATTTCCATTGTTCTCTTTCAACATCTTTCAAGTACTTAATTATTATTGCTACTTCTATTTCTAACAGGTAAATCGCAGACTTTACTAATACCTTCAGTGCCATCAGGCTCTGCCTGCTCCTCTCGTTGTTTCTGCTTGAACTTCAAGTTCCCATAGTGCATGACAGCCCCTGTCAGCTTGTAGATGGCTGTCTTTTCATCAGCGGTGAAGCCCAGGATGTCAATGGCACTCTGCAAGAGGTATAATAAAATAAAGCTTTGTCTGGAAGAGATGAAAATAGGTACAATATTTTTAACTCTTTCTTACATCTGTAGCCATCAGCTCCTCCTGGTCATTAATGCTGGGAACAGTGATTTCACCTTGACTAACAAACTGGTAGTCATATGGGTTGGTGGTGATGAGAAGCATGTCTAAAAGTAAGAACAGAGGACATGAGGGTTTAGTTTAGCCATGCAAGTAATAGTTTAAACTGAAGTTTGAACAGCAATTCTTCCTTCAAATTGGTCATTCTTCCTACCTATTAGCTCTGGCTTCTTGTTGGACATGATTTGATAGAATATGTGGTAGCTTCTTTCTGCCTTGAGCTGGAAAGTGACTCTGGACTTCTCCAGCAGATCTGGGGGAAAAATTTAGTTAAAAACAAGAAGAAAGAGTTGGTTTTTTTTTTAAAAAAAAAAGAAAGAAAAAAGTAGGAAGAAGATGTGGTGAAAAAGAGAGAAGTAAGGATAGGTGGCTGGGTGAGGCGTTGGATGGATGGATGGATGGATGGGATGGATGGATGGATGGATGGATGAGTGAATGGATGGATTGTGAATAAACAGTTCAGAGAAATGTCTTACATGTTTCAATATCAGCAGAAGCAAGTTTTCCTGTGGCACCAAAGTGAATTCTGATGAATTTGCCCTTTAAAGGAATAAAAGTGTCTTATTATTTACATCATAAAAATATATCAGAAATTAAGAGATTTGACATTTATTCTACTGGGCACAATATTTCTACTTAGAGACATTTTTTTAAGAATCTGTTATATTTCCACTATTGTCATAAAGTTGTCTTCTACATTTTTGACCATGAAAATCATCAACAGAGGCACAGCTCTATGTGTATGCTGAATGCACAAATGGAAAGGAATGAGTGGATTGCATTAGCCAAAGTCTTTTAACTATATCCTGCATACAGAAAGCAGTCACCTTAATGATATAGAAATAACGATTCAAGTAGTTCAGCTTTTAAACGTATCGAATAAGCCATTTCAATTCTGATGATTATTTGAATTTGACATAAATCAAACATTATTCAATTAGAAACTCTCTCTCCCCACCATGTTTCCCCACCCCCTGTATGTTTCTTTCAGTCCTCTTTTACTTTCTCCATCTTCTTACCCATTTTTCCTAATCTCCCTCCTTTTCTACCTGGCATACTGTCTGTTTGCATTTTAGCAAACGAGCAGAGATATAAGTAAAAATAAACAAAACTATTGTTCAACACTACAAAACATAATAGAAAAATGAGTATGTGATCAGTTACTTTGATTTGCATCCCAGTGCAAAGCAGAATTAATTTTTATTTTTTTCTTATAGAATCACTCTTCCTGAAGTCTGGAGAATTACCTTTAGGAGAAGTGATGAAGTCATGTTAAGAAAATTCAGTCTTACTCTTGAAAACACAATGGCTGAACAAACAAAAAGAATGACTGCCATAAGCTCCTGTTTACTATTTTTTCAGGAATCGTTTGCTTAATCCACTTACAAAGCGTGAGGAGTTGTCGTTCCTCACGGTCTTGGCATTTCCAAAGGCCTCCAGCAGTGGGTTGGCGCTGATGATTTGATCCTCAAGCGTTCCCTGCAGGATGATAATTATTGCTGGTTATCTTTCCCAAAAACTGTATCAGAAGCAGAGAAAAGCGTAGATTCCAGCCAGCGTCTATTAATTTGCCTGCATTTTGCCTGACGTCTGCTCTTCCTTCTTCTTGTCCCCGCTTGCTGCAATTGTTGCAAAGTACTGGATGACACGCTTTGTGTTCACAGTCTTCCCTGCTCCGGATTCTCCGCTGTGCAGCCAAAGAGAGAAGCAGAGAGCGTGTGGTCAGGCAGGAGGTCCCTGGCACCAGGCAGCCCCTCAGGGACCAGAGCAGGGAGTGTACATACGTGATCAGGATCGACTGGTTCTCGCGATCTGTGAAGCAGGCAGAAATACAGTACATTGAGTTTTAAAACTCAATGAACAGCACAGAAAGAATGAAGCATAGCTAGGTAAGTTTAATGTTTTCAACTCTATGCTGTCATGTTGACTTAAAAACCAAACCAACCAAACAAAAAATCTCCACAACACCTAAGTGAGTACAGGAGTTTCTTTCATTTAAAATATTAGAAAAAAAGGTGTGAAGATAGTAAAGCACACAGTGTTGCGTATGCATCACAACCATGAAAGCTCTAAAAATGTCTTCTCATATTACTGAGACAGAGTATTCCTTCAG